TACCAGACCACTATGAGGACACCACTGATCAAGCACTAGAGCTCATGCAGTCATTTTAACAAAGTGTCATTGATTCATTCATTTCTTATGCTTTTTTTAGATGCTGAACCATTGCTACCTATTTGGCTCCTAGTCAAAGTAAGACTGCAGGGTCCCACGGCGACGGATATCACATGTCCAGCAGTGGAAACCACCTCCCAGTGAATTGGCATGGCGAATATTCACTTTGATTGTGGAAATGCCTGAAAGAAGCATACACTGCATACTTTAAAATTCAAATCTCAGATTCACGTGGCAAGCTCTGATCAGAACACTAGATAACTCTTTATCAGATCATACAGCTAGGTGTAAGTACGGAAAGTATTTCCTACTCATTTGTTGAGAATTTATTTTCCCAAATTCTAGGCAGAGAACAAGCTAGGAACATAGCTGGCTTGTTTATATACCCTCAGGAATATACAGTGCCTGGAGCACAGCCAGTGTTTCATGTGTTATGACATGCCAGTAATAAAAAGATAAATTCAGGTTTTGCAGTATGTGAAGAATTAGCTGAAATACAATACATGATCAGGGCACATTTACATAAGTCTGTGTGAGCATTTGTGGCTCAGACACTGAATGTGCTTTTTCAAGTGCCTTTCAAGAAAAGTGTTTAGATAGCTCTGAGTCCATCTTTCTCCAAAGGGGAAAAGAGGCTCTTATGGTTACTACCTAAGTTAAGCTTCCTCCTACTTCTTTTCAGCTCTGATGTTTCAGCTGTGGCTGAGCTTACACAAAGTCCTGAGAGATGGACTAGGATCAGAAGACTTCTCAGTTATGAAATTTGCCTTTTTGCTTCTTGGCACTTTCAGCAGCTTGGTAGAATCTATCACCTGGGTCAGCAATAGTTTTGTTCCCAGCAGACCCATCTTAGCCCTAGGAACTTACTGACTATTGGAGTTTATTTAGAACTTACACAAACTGTGAAGGTCAAGTGCAAACAATAAGCCATGATCAGAATTAATAGCCTCATTTTTTAAGTACTTCGAAGCATTTATAAATCCTCAACTCCTTGGTCATGCAGAGAATTAATACAGCCTAAGACTAAGAAGCTAAGTGATTCACTGAAGGTTGTATAGCCAGTCTTTAAAAGCACTTTAAAGCATTAGGTTGCATGGTTCTCACGTGCAATCCTCTCAGATTTGAGGGAAGTTTCAAAAAGCATCCTCACATCCATGGCACCAACCCTTCTAGATTCACAGTTGCTGTCTTCCACCTCTGGATCATTCTCTCCTTCCCATCATTTTGCTCCCTTTAAGAGAGTCTTCTGCTACTGGGAATTATTACCTTTTACTCTGCAGTGATCCTGTCCTTCCTGACTTCTCATCTACCCATAGGTCTTCTTTCTACCCTGTCAACTTTTGCATCACCATGTACTTATCCTGCAGCAACAGTCACCTGGCTGTAGCATCAAGCAATCTGGCTACTCTCTTACTAACCAGCTATGAGCCACAAGAGGATCTACTTAACCTTTCCCTCCCAGCACGATGAAAGCACTCAGATTAACTGCATGAGCACAGATTTCTAAATCTATACTATCTGTCTTTGCAGTGAGCTGTGCGTAAAAAAGACTTCAGATTTTATGTTCAATTACAATTCTCCTGCCACTGCATAGCTAAAGGAATTTCACCCTAACATGAGGTTGCATCTGAGATTCATGACTGAGATTCTCCATAAATGAGAAGAAATACCTGAGTGAAGTGGTCTTAATTTGACAGTTTAAAGTACAATGAGTTTGAAACTAGAAAAACCTGAAAGCATTTTGGCAACGAGGGATAGCCAGCTCTGTATCACTCAGCAATATGGGCACTCAGCCTCTCCAAGGCAGATTTGCACCTTAAACTGAACAGACATTTTTACACTAAAAAAGCTCATTCAAAAGGTTACTAGCAGTAACTTCAGTTGCTCCTCATATCTTTATTTGCTGCAAGCTGTGGAGGGAAAAGAAGCTCATATTCATATGACTGAAGTATCCTGGAGAAAAATCACTGAATGATTCTTACTAATCCAGCTGTTTGAGTACTTTTTCCAATGCTGGCTGCTTTGACAACTTTAAGTGAAACTCTAATCCAACTGTTTGAGTACTTTCTCCAATGGTGGCTGCTTTGACAACTTTAAGTGAAACCTCCTTTCATTCTGATGTGCACAGCTGGTATCACAATAGTTTTCTTTTAAGTATATGTAGAAGTATGTTAGGACATACCCAACTTCTCAAACATCTTGTGAATCGAGGTCTCATTGGCATCCACCATCACACGTTTCTCATCCAGCAACTGTTTGAGTACTTTCTCCAATGGTGGCTGCTTTGACAACTTTAAGTGAAACCTCCTTTCATTCTGATGTGCACAGCTGGTATCACAATAGTTTTCTTTTAAGTATATGTAGAAGTATGTTAGGACATACCCAACTTCTCAAACATCTTGTGAATCGAGGTCTCATTGGCATCCACCATCACACGTTTCTCATCCAGCATTAGGACATTCATGGAGAGCCATTTGGAAGACATCCACAGTGGGTGATCTAAACACGTGAAAATGAACCTTTTACTGTACCAATACTGCCCCATATTAATACCCTTAAGAATACTCTTGGAATCCTTAGAAAAGAAAGAGTGAATTTACCATCTGGGATGAGTGGCACTGGGGGCTGAATCACAGTCCAACCAGCTTTCTTGAAGAGCTCAATCTGAAAGAGCAATTTAATTATATTCTCAAGAGGGTTCTGAGAGTATCACATTATATCCTCCAACCTATGTCATATTTTCTCAGGCTATTTCAATATGCCTGACAACCCCTTCCATCAGTTCAGCATCTTGCCCTCATTCAAGTTTCTTCTACAAACCCAGTTTTCATACAAGCATTTTTAAAAGCCTTTTTAAACTTTGCATACCAATATAATTTATTTTTACTGGTTTTATACATGCTAGGTGTACTGGGATATGTTAAGGGCAAAAGGTAGCACAGGCAGTTTGGAACCTGTGAAGTAAATGTATTCGTAATAACACAGACTTATTAAATTCTTTATTTTTGGTATTATTTCTTCACATATGGTTGTAAAAGCCATTGACATGAATCACACTGACATTTATAGAAATAAGCCCATCAGAAATAAGGCACAAAATTACCTTTCCATCGTGCTTTGTAAGAACCTTAATATGCAGTCTGTTTAACAAAGGGAACAAAGTAAAGGCATCCTAAGGAATAACTTGTGTCTCTAAGAATTACACAATGAAGTTAAAAATAAGAAGAGGATAATTTGCCCGAGGAGAATTGATGTCTTAACTCATTGTCTGAGTAGCTGGAAGAGCTCTTTACTGGAGCGTTACCACGAGATGGAGCTCGGATCCCCAGCACTCCACAACCAGCCTGACCTACCAGGATTTGAAAGAAAAGCTCCTTTTCATCTGCACCGTCCAAGGAAAGCTTCCTTTCATCCACACCACTCTCACACCCCACTTCCCAGCCATCCAGAGCTGCCAAATCAGTTTTTATGAAAGCAAACTGCATCTATCTCTTCTATCTACACAGACAGCAATTTTCCATGGAAAAAAAAAAAAAAGCCCCAGGACATGGGTTTAACACAAGGAGACCAAGAACCTCCTCTTGCAAGTAAGATTACAAAAAACAGTGAAACAGAAAAGGGGAGGGAAAACTATGATTGTTTAAAAAAAATCTGTTCTCAGAACGGATATTAAAAAAGAGGCAGAAATTCAATTAGAGCATTTTCATTGAAGTCATTGGTTGAGAAGAGACTAACGTTGCTCCTACGAGCTATGCTGTGCACATGGCTCTCTAGTCCCTGCAGCACACAGCTCTATCCCACTGACTGAGCATCAGCTCAGCTATTCCCATGTGGCTGTACAGCTCCTTAAGTCATGGGGATCCTCACAAAAATCCTCAAGCACTACTACGGGTAACATGACTAACACAGCTAAGCTCTTACTCCCTGGAAGGCTTTCTGATCTAATTGTGCTGTTTAGCTAGATTAGCTTTTTCTCAGAGTGTAGTAGCAGTTTTTACATGTCTCTCCTCTTTCCTACTCTTCAGAAAGTATTTCTTTCTCAGTTATTCAAAGCTGAAAGCCTGAGCAGCTATCAGCTCCCTGCCATCAGTTCAGTTAATACCAAAGGAGAGGTTTCCAAATAGGAATGAAAAGGGAGTAACAGAAAACCCTCAATTTCACTTTGGATACACCTAATGCATTTATGCAGTGGAAGTGCTCAGAGCAGCAGTATATCCTAGGTACTTGCTTTGATACTACATTATTACAAATGATATTACTTCCATCATATTTAAACCATGTACATAGACAGAAGCACACAACACATCCACTTAGCTTCACAGTAAGAAAGCACAAAGAGCAGTAGCAGAAAACTGAGGAAGAACAACAGTCATTGCACTGCTGAGAGAGTTCTGGAGTCAAGATCCAAATACATCTGTAAGTTCCTGAACAACTGTCTGGGTACTATTTAAATTCAATAATTTAATATTATTCAAGTGTATATAAAATAAGGGTGTGGAATAGGAATTATCCATCAAGGAACTAATCCAGCTGAGTCGTTTTTAAACACAAAACTCCTTCTCCTCTTCCACTCTCTTACCTGATGGCAGGGACGGTCTGGGTTAGACAGCACAAGACCAGGTCCAATGATATTAAAAGTGGCATCAATGTGCATAGGGTTAGGATCTTTGAAGGATATGATATGCACTCTATAGTCTGGTGCAAGGTGTCGCCTCATCCATTCAATACCCATGTAATTGGTAACCTGAAAACAAGACAGTGGAAGTTTCAGTGGGCTAGGAAATAAACTGCATCCAAGTTTGGTTTGTTTAAGCTTTTATTTAAATAAATATTTAAAGGCAAAAATAATAGTTTGTGCCTTTAGCTAACCCTCCAGCTGGAAGACAGTCTTACCCTGTTTATCAAACATTCTATGAAAAGCAATTTCTTTTGTCTACCCTCTTATTTTAATGCTGCTCAGGAACTTAAAAAGACAAAGTATCAATCAGTAAGTTAGATACCAACACTGTTGAGAGCAAGCTTTGTTTACCTGGCTCCTTTGTACAAAGATATCTCTTCCAGCTCTAATGAAGTCAGCAGCATCAAAGCATGGCTCAAATTCAGTAGTTACAAATTTTCCCTGAGCAGCCAGTTTGTGCCTGTCTTCAACAGAGTGGATCGGATAATTCTAGTTGTAGGAAAAGGAATAACAACTTTAGGTTGGATATGTTAAGGGAAAGTTTCAAATTATTTGCTACTGAAGAGTATTTTGAAATTATGAAGATGTGTTTATAATGATATCCAGTATATTCCTCAGAGGTGGTTTGGTTTACTGAGTACTAGAATTTTAAGAAAAAGGTCTAAATGTGGACATATAATGAAAGGTTTTAAGCACATTCAAGAACAGCTGGTAAGAGACAACAGTTATAACATGTTCTTCAGAACCACTCTAATATTCTGGCTCAAATGCATTCACTGCACAGTGACAGAAACACTGGTATGCAAGCTATTTCCTAGCAAAGGTGGACTCCCTATTTTTTCCACATTTTAAAAATGGAGGAGTACTTCAAACTAGAAGATAGAACTTCAGGAATTTAAATAACAAAAAATTACCCAAGGCAATTAAGAACAACTGAGGTGTAAAAAATCCAGTACAAACAAAAAGCCACTGGAAAAGCAGTTTCTATGCTTTAGAACAGGATCTGGAAGTTTTCTAATACTGACAGATTACTCTAAGGTAATTTTGTTTAACACAGACTTCATTGCATCACTGATGAGATGTCACTGTTCCCAGAAAGTTGCAATCATTCCACAACTAGTTTTCTACATTTATTATACATGCGGTTACCGAAGTCCAATGCATTTGGGGGCCTATAGGAAACTACCAAAATAGTCTGAGTCAAAATTATTAGGAAAAAAATTAATATTTGCTTGAATATTTGGAAGGTCAATACCCACAGTTTAGCTCCTCCACTATTTCTTTTATGTGACTTTCAAACTACTTAGGAGTTCAGCTTTTCTGTGACAAGATATATATTCTTTCCCACTTTTTGATACACTCAGGAACTATGGACACTCTCAGGGAATCTTAATTCTTTAAAGTAATCTCTGTGATGTTTTTCTAGCATTCCTTCCTCTTTAGTAATGCTCTGTTACAGCCAGTAATCAAAACAATTCCAAGCAGAGGAATTCAACAGACAAAACTTCCTGTTTCTTACTCTCTAATTGCACACACAGTTTCAGCTGGAAAGGCTACAAAATGTTTGCAGACACTAGGAAAAAACCCACAGATTTCCAGAGTTGTTTTGTGCAATTCCTCCCCATCTCCCTCCACCCCCAATTTTGTGAAACCTAGATATCACAAAATTCTGTACAACCAGAACTGATGCTCTTAAACAAAATGAGAACAGTACCTGATCATAGAGTTCATCTGCCATTGTGGGTTTAGGGGCAGTTGTCCACTTAGCACCACTGTTGAAATAATCTTTGATTAGTCGCCTATATGCCCTGTACTCAAAGAACCGAGCACGCCAAGCCATAGGTGCTTCGATAATCTCATTTCCCACCACGAGCAGGATGTCTCTCGGCATGGCAGCATACATACCTGAAAGGAAAACAACTATTAACCTACAAGACAAATATGCTTTTCTCTGCTCTTTCAGCTTATTCGCTTTTTACCCTCCTTTTTTACCATTATTTCTATCCAAAACTAATGGCAAAAAGCATTGTTAGCACAGACCCTTGCACGCTTCGGTAATTTTTCAAAGTGACAGTTGTTGTTCAAAGTACGTCCAACTCTTGCTACAAAGCCTCACTCATAACAAATCCATGGCTAGATGAAAGTCATCCACCATCAAGCCTCCACTTCATAATTTGGTTAATGAAAATTAACTAGACAAATGTTTATGAATTACCCAGATAACTTTAAAAGGTGATAATGCACATTTTTCAAGTGAACTTAATTTCTTTATATAGCAGCCTTTTAAAGCTTGGTAGTACCTTTTACAAAAGCTGGAAAGGAGTCTGACAGTTAGAAGACATTCAGATTTCCTTGACACTAGTGAGGATCCTCATGGAAAACTGTTGCCTCCAACTGCTTTGACATCCATAGCTTAAGGTGGATCCAACTCTAAGATCCAACTATTAAAACAGCCAAAGGGCCTTATATCATTTGACCTTTCATGTGGCAAGTTGGGGACAAAGCAGTAACAGTCTACAGCTACTCTGAGGGCCATTAAACATGACAGACTTCTTGGTAGTGGCAGTGACAATATACAAAGGGAATCTGTGGGAAGTTCAGGTTAGGTATCAGGAAGACATCTTTCATCAGGAAATCCATGCAGCACCAAAACAGGTCGGCAGACTAGGTGGCTGAATCTCCATCTCTGGAGACCTTCCAAGTCATAGCTACACAAAACTGTCTCTGACCTCACTTAGTGCTGGCAATAATCCTGCTCCTAGAAAGAAGTTAGACTAGATGACATCCAAAGTGTCTCAGACAAGAGCTAAAAAGACAACACCTTCAACAATGGAACATTTACCTGTAGACTCAAAATCAGGTGTTTTATACTTCACAGACCAGTCAATTGGATCAGGCCTCTTGACAATAACACCTTCTCTTTTCAAAATATTGCACATCTCTTCAATTTCAGCAACAGCTTTTTTTAAATGGTCTTTGGGGAAGCTCTGGCCTCCAAATTTCTGATAAAATCCCCAATACTTCTCATACGTGTTTGCCTAAAACAAAAGGAGAGGTAAGTGACAAAGAATAAGCATCAGTTACTTCGGAGTGAAATAGACGCATAAGACACAATTCTTAATGGTCAAAGTTTTTTGTTCTTGACCCTAACATGTTGGAGTCTGCCTTACATATGACCCCTGCAATATTTTGAAGACTTGCTAAGAATTGTTAATGTCCTGCTGATTCTCTTAAAATAAAGGGGGAAGGAAAGAAGGGGGAGGAAAAAAAAAAAAAAGAAAGAAAGAAGCATTAATGCTTCAGATACATTCTCTGTTATTGCCTGGTTGAGAATCCATATCCTGGTAGCACTTTGCTATCTTTATTTTTTATCTTTACTACTTCTATTTATACACACTATCAGCAAGGTTTCACATGTGACTGTGTGCAGTCATTAAACTTAAGTAAATCCAGGTGTCCTAGTTCTCATGGATAAGAAAATCCAGACATATAATCAAAACAGATGGTGTTGCTTCAGTTCAATGTATCTTTGAAAGCACTTCTTTCAGATTTGTAAGCTGTGAATGCAGCAGTTTTGTTGTTCCTCTGTCATGTTAGTGTTAGCAGAGATACAAGTGCATATGGAGCTCTTCTGAATGACAGCACAAGGGGACAGGAACAGATGAGCAAGTGGTGAGCCCAGAAAGAGTCCATCTCATTCAGGCAGCATGAGGGACAGCAGTGGGATGCAGGAGAACATGCCCTTCCAAACATGAGATTCTCTGCTGACTACCTTCCAAAAAGCAATGTTCTCAGAAAAAAAAATAATGCAATGTTCCTTTTGGACTAGCATTGTCATTGAGCCCTGAGCAGGCAAGGCCATTCATCTGAAGGCACGCCTGATCCTCTTTAACAATCCAGACTATCCACTCTATTCCCTACTGTTTCTGGATATTTGCCCTTGTGCTAGAGAGGTAAGAGAGATGAAAGAAAATTCAACCTTAACATTTATGCAGAGCCCAGACAAAGGTCTTAACATGGGCATCCTGCTCCTCCAGTACCGAAGCTTCTTCCCATCCTTCCTGAAGGAATCTATTCTTTTTCTATAAGTGAGGTCTTGGGTAATCTGATCACCTCAAACTTGCCAGCTGGTCAGAAGTCACATGCAGACCATATGAAGTGCCTAGCATTCCTATGGAAACACATCCTGCTAATGAGATAAATTCATCCTATGGAGCGAAGCTGGTTATTTCCAGAGCCAGCCATGATGTATGTGAATATCATCAGTTCCTAAGAGGTGCAGCTCCTCTCTTCACCTCATAGCCTCTAGTATGCTTTCTTTTTCAAGCCTGGCAAACCACGCTTGTGTTGCACTAATACAATGGCATAAATAAAGTTACAATAGAGTAAGGATGAGCACTGCAACACTACTCCTATTCCTTACCTTCCCTGCCATCTGAGTAACTGGGAAAAGGGTTGAGATTCCAGGCCCCTTTGATCACATACATACAAGACAGTTTGGACTGTTAAAAAAATACCATAGCCAAGACAGAAAAGAGCTTTAAATAATCTCCTCAATGCACCTTATGACCCACTGTCTGACAGTACTTGCAACACTGCAGCAACATTTAAGACAAACTCTTTCTTTTCACAAAGACATTTAAGAGTGTCCTATAAGGAAGGATTGCCTGTAAGAAACAGCAGAACTGTTCCCTGTAGTTGCTATACATTTTAAGCATTTTTTGTGGCAAATAATTAACATTACCAAGATGCACCTTAATCCCAGTAATTACAGTTGTTAAACTCAGTACATTAAAACAGAAATTGATATTAAAATTCTTTTTGACTAATTCAATAGTAAACACACACATCTTCTCACTCAAGATACAATGACCTGTGTTATTAATACCTCTTCATCAAAAATGTACTACTACTCACAAAACATACTGAAAAGCATTGCAGAGTACAAAGCTAAGAAGTTCAACTGCTTGACTGTTTACTGCTTCAGAAGAATATATCTCAATTGTGAGTTTTCACTGAAGTGCTAATTAAAGAAAGGGAATCTTCTCAACTTGTGTAGTCACTAATCTGCATGTTCCCAAATAGTGCATTTACCTCTATATAACCTACACAGCCCATTTCAAGCTCCAAAAAGGACATGCCATAAAGTGTCAGCTCATTAATATTCACCAGATATGTAGGGTTCCCCATTCAACTGCTTCCTTCCTCCTTCTTATGCCAAGCACATCACTCCCACATCACAGCAAAAAGACTTGAGTATACCAAAACTATGTCTCAAAGTACAAGAGAATGCTGAATGCAGCCATACTTGCTGCATACCATCTTAAAACTCAACCTCAACACAAGTATTTATCCAACTATTATAATCCAAGATGTGTTTTTGAAAGTGTCTCAGGTCCAAAGCCTCAACTTTTCCTTGTATGAGTCAATTCCTTGGTTTTCAACTGCAGTTTTTCCAACCAGTGACCCTCAGGCATACTTGGCAGGTTCCATCTGATACACATCAACGCCAGAATTGCTACTTACAGGGCCAGGAACAGGGATGTCTGGCTATGGCATTACACTGGAGCAACACACACATACACACCTTACCTTTCAGCCACATGGGGGTTTGAACAATAATGAATCTATCAATTAATAGCACTAATGTTAAGGTAGGATTGAACTACTGCTTGGATTATTCAGCAGTGCCCCCCAGGTGAAGTTACTGTTGCAGTTTCTACAGCAAAATTTAAGACAAACACAGAGAAAATGAGAGCAAACCACATCTCAGTTGGTACACTGTTCTGACTGCCTGTTGTAGACTTGGCAGTTTATGCACAGCAAAGCTAAAGCTTGCTTTAACCCTAAGCTGTAGGTATTTGAATTGCAGAAGTCATCCTATACTTGGACATTCCTCATAGAGTTTTTCATATTGCATAGAAGAGAAAGTGAAGTTCAGACCTCATGTGAGTAGTTCTGGCTTAATAGGCAGTAAAACCTGTATAGCATTTCACACTTCAGCAAGTGAGACATTTGAAATATTTCTTCTGGCACTAAAGCAAGACCTTGTCCACTGCCTGAGAACAGAATTTTGCCTCATTTAATGTTACAGTGTAAAAAAGTTACGACATTTTTTTCCTTACTCTTTTTGCACATTCATTGTAGCAGTCCTGCATAAATACACATACATACACTTGTATATTAGAAACGCTAATCCTCATTCACTCTTCTTTCTAAATGCTTGTGGAATGTCTGGAAGAGGAGTTCAGAGACTGATAACTGAGCTGCAGCTTTCAAGGAGTAAATATGAGTCATAATGAAGTCAATGTTAAATTTTTGATTGTGCTCACTGGCACCAATTTATCATCCCAAATGTCCCAGTGTAAATCAAATGGTTCCTCTTCTATCTGGAGATTAGAACTACCAAGCTGCAGTAATTCATTCACACTCCTCCAGCCACTTCTGCCCAGAATCATAACCCAGAATCTAAAAAAAGACACACAAACATAAAAGGGGCTTGGGGAAGAGAAGTCTTCTCCATAAGTACATCTTAAACTTCCCCTAAACTACCACTTCCAGCACTTTAAATAGATTTTCAGGTATGTGTGTTTACCATTCCTTCAACATCAGATCAGAATCCCCTGGGTTTTTTGAACTGAGGTTAAGCAAATGGTGTATCTAAACCTCACATTATTTTCTACTTAAGGTTATTTTTATTGTTTACCTTAACCTCCACAGAAAAAGGTGGGACACAAGCATTTTCAGCTCTTCCCACAATGACCTCTTCCAGTGGATCCCATTCATTGTATGAGCAAACAAGACAGTCCTTAGGCACAGGGCTAGTGGCCTTGTCATCAGCAGCACAGGTGTTCTGGGAGGCCGTGGCTGCCTGGGTGCTCTGGAAAGTTCGCTGCACCCATCCTGTAAACACTCTTCGAAGCTTGAAATAAAAAGAAGAACGAAAATTACGCTACCTTTACAAAAGGCACAAAGCAACGGCTCAACACTGTAATCCCAAAGCAACCTGCATTATTTGGCCTATTAACAGAAACGCAGCTCATCGCAGCGATTCTGGTTCAGTCACAGCCTGAGGGATGCTTAAAGGCACCGCTCAGAGGGGAATGACACGGCACTGACAGCGGCATCACCGGGCCGTGCTGCCGGGCACGGAGGGGGCGGTGAGCCGCGGCGAGAGAGAGAGAGAGAGAGGAGCCCGCGGCG